ATTGCGATGGCCTCCTGTGACCACAAACATGATTCTGCAATGTTATTGAGACAACAAAAAAAGTAATATCAACATTAATGATCAAATTTTAACGTGGATTTGCTGAGAGATTACCTCGGGACTAATTTGATCAATTTTAATTTAATAATTAATTATATAAAACTATACCTTCATCCAGGTTGGTTCCATTTCCAAATAGTATCTGTCCACATGTGGCCACAGCACAGTAATAAGTGCCAGCGTCAGATGATTGTACATTCTTAGAGAAATTATAACTACATTTCTTCTGATTGTTTGTTGTCTTTTCACAGTTTTCAGGTATTTTTCCCTCAGCGAAGATGAAATCTGGATAGGATTTGTCTGATATGGCTCTGAACCAGAACACAGTGGGTTCTCCTGAGCAGGTTGCATTTACAGAGTCAGAGAGAACCGAACACTGCAGAGTCTCTGAGTTTGTTTCACTGGCGGGATCAGAAACTGCTGGCTCCTGAACAACAGTGAAGCTTGAAGTCTTCTGAGAATTTTCTATGAAGAAATGAAAGAACAACACAACTGAAAAAAAGAGCTTTTGATTTAAACTAAAAGGTGTATTGAAGATATAAAGTTTTTGTCTTTGTTTTAATGTTTTATTAAAAACAGAGCAAAGTTTTCAACCCTCTAAACATATATATAGGTCAAAGTCATCTAAAGTTATGCACAAAGAAAATACTCTTCGCAAATGTATTTTAATATATATATATATTTTTTTTTTTTGAAAATGTGGCATTTATCTCAAAAGACAAATATCTCAGATGTTATGTTTTATTAACATTTTATTTTCAGGACTGACATGAAAAAATATTTTTACCCTTATTAATAACTAATGAAACTAGTAATCTTTCTTGGCATTGTATTTCTGAAATGCTCACCACATTTTTCATGTTTCCATGAGTATTTTTATGACTTATTTCTGAAGATGAGCTACAAATCTTTGAGACTGAAAGCTTCCAGGAGCTTTTCAGTCTCCTTCTTTGCCCTTCAGTCTTTAGCTCCCTCCATACATTTTATGTTCAGTTCGGGTTAAGATTCTTTGCAGTCCACTCTGAAATGTTAAAATAAATTCCAAGGGCAGAGTGAAATATTACTTCAACTCAGTTACAACCACTCGTAAGAACATTAGCCTAACCTACATGAAATTTTGTTTGTATTTTGGAAACAATTTTATTTTTATAGTCTTTCTTTTCACTTTTGGTTACATTGGTTGAAAATAATTAAAGACAGAAAAATAATATAATTTTTTTTCACAAATGGTCAGTGGATATCAGAGCAGTTTAAAAATGCACATTTTATCAGTCAGAAAAATCAAAATTGATGAAATACTTGACATAAAATTCTATTTAACAAATCCAAAATTCTTATATTGAAACATTTTTTTTTTGAGAAAATAGTTAATTCAGTAAATATTTAAATTGTACTCTGCTAATACTCTGTCTTCAAATGTGTTTTGTAAATGCAAGTGAGTTCTCATTCAGTTTGTGTAAGAAAACTAATGGTAGTAAAATGAAAATGAGTCCTTAAGACTGCACATTCTGTAAAAAAATAAAAAATCTAAATTCAACTGAAACTTTAGTTCAAAAGGTATATAAACAGTAGTATGGATGAATAATATTTTAACATTCTTTCAAGTAAGAATGTGTTCCACTATATTATCTGACAAATGTGAAGGAAAAAAATATAAAAATAATCGTCCAGAGGCGTTTCATACATCTTATTTCCAAAAAGCCATCACTGTGTTTCACCAAATTCCAGTTCTCGGTATGAGAAAAGACCAAACATATTTACCTCTCACTGACAAATAGGTCCCAGTCCAAGCAGATTCAGTCCAGTCCATATGAGCACAATGGTACATTCCCTCATCTTGTTCTTCTGATGACGAAATGATCAAGTTGCTCGTGTTGCCAATATATGTTATTTCGAATCTTGATTTTGAGAATCCCGGGCCGTAGGTGGGTATTGTACTTGTACTTTGACGCATCATTGCAATTAATATCAGAGTATTTCCTGCACTTTGCTTGTACCAGTGAACCCATGTCACAGTTTCAAACTTCTCAGTCAATACGCATCTGAAAGCCACAGGTTCCCCAAGATGGACTGTGACCACAGGAACTAAAGTATCTGCAGTAGATAAAAGAAATGTTAAATGATAAAGGTCAGTTTTAAAGAAACTGTTTACCGATCAGAGATAAAATTAAGCAAAAAAATCAATTAGACAAGATTCTGTTTTTAAATGTACTTACATCCTTGATGAAGAAGGAACAGTACAAGCCATAGCAGAGTCATGTTGCTACTGTCGTCATAAAGACACTTAATGCTTTAGAAACTGAGGGAGGTGTGGTCCTTCAGACTGTCGAATGCATCTGATTGGCTACGAAAGATTAATGAGGCTAACAATATTTATGCAATGAAACCACAAAGAGAAATACCATGATTAAACTTTGATATCGTGCCATGTTAATTAACAAACCAAACTAAATACTAACAACCTATTAATATTCATATCTTCTTCATATTTATTTAACAGAAGATTAAATAAATAATACGATTCACTTCCTCAAAGTTTCTTTATGGGCATGTATGAAAAAAATAAATTTTTCTTTTGTTGCATAATCAACTTAGTCCTTCTTGGAGTCTGTTATGATGAGACCCTTGGGCTTTAACATCAATTTCCTGCAAATAATTTTCCATATCTGACTAGTAAAATGTTTTTCTTATCTTCTTTGCCTTAATATTGTCTGATAAGGCAAAAATGCTGCACCAAATATCTCAGGTAACACTGAGTTTCACTACCTTCATCATTATAACCATGTTTGTTAAAACACTTCTTTAGAACAAATCTACAAAATATAAAATTGCATTTTCCCGTGTCTTCCTGGCAGCAGCCAGTCACTGCATGTTGATATTTGGGATCACTTTGTTCAGTTTGTGCGGTCAGTCACACTTCAATTGTCACTGACCACAACAAAACCAGGAACAATTCTCCCTGTTCCTGGGAGAGAAAAGTTCAGATTACATAATTTACACACTAAGCAGGTCACAGCAAGCCCAACAGAATAAACCTTCATAGATCAAAATAAGGTGATGAACAAAGACATCTGGAATGACATACACAACTTTCATATTTCACACATTCACACCTTTAGTGTCACCTCGTCAATGGCCAAAGTGTCATAGCCTGAGTGATGACAGAATGGAAGAGGTGTCGGCTCAGCACTGCGTGTTGGTGCAGGTATGCAGAACCTGTTTGGGCTGGTGTAACCGGGCTTTGCTTCACTCCACCGTACCAGGCCGACCAAAGTAACCCCTCGACTCTGCCTTGTGTTTTTTTTTTAATGAAGACCAGGAGTTTCTGTGTGAATCTCTGGGCAGTTTATTTCCTGAAGAAGAACAAATCGGCTTGGAATCAATGCAATCGCTCAGCTTCCCTCAGCACACTATGACAGAGCATCATGTTAGCTTTAACTTAGCACAGGAAGTGTTTTACAATATTAACAATACTACAAGTACAAAATTGGTGCCAGGCACATAACTCATAAATAGTAGTTACACACTACTTGTGTAAGTTATTAAAAAATTATATTTGATGTGTTTCTAACACTTTTCTATGCTGTGTGCTGAAGAATGACATTCACCTCTTGTGCAGCGTTCACAGACTGGCACTGATTACAGGGGCCAGCAACATATAACCAGCCACACAGAGAGAGGGGCGCTATTTCCCATTGCACTAATAATATAAGGCAAGTGGGATTCTACAACCTAAACTCTGTTACACTGGAGCAGTGTTTTTTGGGATAGTGGAGGGCTTAGAACTGAAAGTCTTTTTAGAAGCACTTCCTGTGGACAATGCAGGGACCAGACTCATCATACTCCTTGCTGACCCACATCTGGATGGATGGATGGATGGATGGATGGATGGATGGATGGATGGATGGATGGATGGATGGATGGATGAGCC